TTTTGGGGCCAAGTATAAGAATTTCGGTTTTTTCTGAGTTTAACATCAGAAAATTGCAGCTCATCCAGGATTTTATGTCCTTAAGACATGTTTGTAATTTAGATAACTGATTAATTTCATCGGGCTTGATCAATAGATATAACTGGGTATCATCTGCATAACAGTGAAAGTTAATGGTGTGATTCCTAATAATGTTGCCAAAGGTAAATGGACTGTACTTATATAGTGCCTTTCTTCTTTCAATGCGCTGTACCATTCACACACATTCATACACTGATGGCAGTGGCTGGGGTTAAGGTTAATGCAAGCTGCCAACTGCTCACCAGAATGGAAACTAATCATTCACACACACTCATACCCCGATGCAACCCACTCTGCCTCTGAGCCACAGCCATATATAAATAATATAAGTATATCACAATATATTACAGTACATTACTGGTCATTACTGGTCAATATATCACCATGTGCTCCACTGTATTCATTTCTGCTGGAGAACAACTGGTCCCAGTTCATGCTGATCTTACTGGCTCCAGTTCTACACCAAAACCAGTTTTTAGCTTTGCCACAATAAAAAGCAGACAAATGGATATGAGTTCACTGAGCTTTAATATGATTTATTCATATTTTGACATAAGATCAGCCAATAAAGAGTAATAAAGGCATTTCCTGTTTCGCACTGAAACATCCAACAAAAAGCCATTTCATTAGTTTCCTGTTGCAAATTATTCACAGTTTTACAGTTCATTGTCTTTATGAATGAAACAGATAATTAATTGATAAATGTATTAGTGCTTTATAAAGACAGATCCATATTGATTACAGGGCTACGTTCACACTGCCGACCTAAGAGCTTGATTCTCATTTATTTATTTTTCTGGATGTTCACATTATTTTTTGAATGTGGCCAAACATTTACATTTTTCATTGAACTGATATTTTTTTTAAATGTCATGCACCCACTGCAGTACTCTAAAGTACTCCTAGGGGTTAGGGTCAGATTCCTGTCATAACGACAAACAGATGAATGAACGCAGACCACCTGTGTGGTGTAGTTTTACAGAAAGAGACAAAATGAGTTTGTTTGTCGTGGTTTAAACCTCAGTAAGTAGAAGTTGAAGCTAGAATTTAGAATTCATGTTATTCATGTGAGACTGTTGTTGAATGAAGGTTGAAAACAGGAGAGCACTGCCACGATTTCAGCTTGGATTTGTCTTTTTCTGTGGTATATTTTTGCCTGCTGCTGAAGATGGCCTTTTTAGCGGTGGATCACAATCTTTTTTGTCCTTCTTGAATTTCATAAATCTTTCATTCACTCTTTTGTTTTGGATGCACAGTGCCCCACCTAGTCTTTTATACTGGAACAGTGCTCTGTTCGAATCACCAAAACAGGTCCAATCATTAACTTCAGACACACACCACTTGGAATGAACTTTTGTTATCCACTTTCCCCCCCAACCTCTATACACTCCACATTGTGGACATTATGTCCGTTCGGTGAAGTGTAATGAACACATTTTCCTCCTTGGTTCCAGGTCTGGGCGTAAACAGTACTGCAGATGTTCTCTGCAATATGGGCGTAAAGATCTCTGTCTGCAGGAAACAGAACAACATGAAGCCATCAGACAGCAGGAAGAAGCTCTGACCTTACTGAACAGTGAGTTTGATATATTCCTCACTCAGTATACGAATCCACATATTGAAGAAGATACGAGAACAGTACAGTCTGCACTTCCCAATATTCAGTGACTATAACTGAAGCCCAGATGGCTTACAGCATTTGAGGATGTACATGTATTGATTTATTGAAATCTCACCCTTTGCTGCCTTATCGGCGTCCTTTTTATTATTCTCTGAACAGTCCTTTGCTTTAGATTTAGTGACTTTCTTAAAAAAGCTTCTAAACGTAACCAGCTTATCATTTGCTGTCAAGTCTTGGTAGAGCTGGTTCGGTTCAACTACAGCCTCTTTGAGCTTTGTACCATTCTTGAGATTTGCAGCCTTTTTGAATTCATCACGAAAGCCATTTGGGATGTTATGTTCGAATGTGTGAGCATGGATATACTGAAGGTGTAGACCTGAAAGCAGTGAAACAAAGGACACGTTATATTGACTCACACTGTGTGAACACACTGTAATACTGTATGAAGACAACCTGCACACATTACCTATTTGTTTAAATGTTGTATAGGGGAAAGTCACACAGATGAATGTTTGAGCGTTATCTTTTCCACTTTCAGGAAAGAAATTATTGCTTGCTCTGTCGAAGGGAAATTTTTGGTGTGTGAGAGCCAGAATCCAGATGTTTGATCCATCATAACGAACCCTGAAAAACACAAACAGTTGGACAGAGATCAGCTCAGTACTGAAGCAGCTGCAGTTGTCATTTAGTATTTCTGTAATAGTTTGTTTACATAGCCTTGGATATTGACTTTATTCTAAACACTGTGAACAACTTAGTGGACTGTCTGTCAACAGCGTGCAAGAGCTGCTGATCAAACCTTATCTCTCACTTATCTTTATCTATACCCTCCCCTCAGTGCCTCAAAAACACAGTGGAACTCAGCGATTAAAGGCTGTTCTCGTCTAACTCTCTAAAATGTTTAAATGATTCATTCTATACCTGTGTGCAGGGATGTATCTGTAGAGATCAGGTATAAACTGTGTATATAAGAGTTTGGACAAGCATCATCTCTGCAGGAAGTCTACTGAGCATGCTCAATGGACCCCAAACATGAAGGTAGCTGACACTTTAGAGGTATGTTAGCATGCTAACATTAGCTAATTAAAGTCCAGCTGAGGCTGATGGGATTGTGGTTAGTATTGGACACATGTTGACCTGATGACCTTTCAAACTGAACCAACCCTGCTGTGGACATTCAGGCCGTATTCAGACCAGATCAGTTTCCTTTAAATTTACACATTTGGAGGTAAAATGTACCTGCAGCTCTCCACCAATGGGAGGGCGTCTCTCTCTCTAACAAACCCTGTTTGTACCGACCTTTGCTGTGTCCGTATGCATTCAATGCGCTACATGTAGGAGGTTGATCACTGTAGGCGATGTATGCAGTATCTGCTGCCTGTACATATCATACACACACAGATTATATTATTTATCATATATTTACTGACTTCAGTTTGAGAGAGTGTGAGTGTGACTGGGCCTCATGCAGGAACATTTATTTTTCAGTCATAGAAGGTTGATTCAGTTCAGTTCACAGAAACAGGTTTGAAATTAGAGGAACATAAAAAAAATGCATGAATATCATATAATCACATTATTATTATTATCACTATTATTATTTGAAGTATTCAATTTGAGGGCTAAAGAAATACTGTTGCTCCACAGGTATGTCCAGATGCACATTATCTGGATAGATGTGTTTTACCTTTTTTGTACTTCCCAATCAACCAATTGGCTGTAGACATATCGCCATCAACTACACCCTTTAAAATAGCCAACACAGGATTTAAATACCTTGGCATTACAATTATACGATCCTTGCGAACAATGTGAGAGCAAAATCGTACTTCATTAACGACGACGGTCAAGTCCAATTTACAAAGATGGAATTACCTGCCTGTAGCAAGTCGCGCTACAGACG